CACACACACACACACACACATACACACACACGGGGTGGGGGTGGGGAGACAGACAGAGACAGAGACAGAGAGAATGAATGTAGAATGGAGAGTACCAAGAGGAAGAGGGGTTGTTAACAGGTAAAGTCCACTTAGGATGATGAAAATGTTCTGCAGATGGGTAGTGGTGATGTTTGCACAACAGAGTTGTACATCTATAATGGTCAGAGAGATAAATTTATGCTGTGTGCATTTTATCACACACACAGGTGCTAATAGGGAATGGTGTGATATAGGTACTGATGACCCTTTCAAGCCTTTCGGCCTGGCAAGTGGGGTGGGGTCAGCCTGTCCCTGGGGGTGAGTATACAACCCTCTGGAGGCCAGGCAGGCCACCTGAGTGAGGGCGTTAGCTGGTGGGGACAGGTTCATCTGGAGGCCACATGTCTAGTTCGTGGGCCAGCTGCAGCCCAGCTCTGGCTGACTTTTGCCATGTGGGAAGCCTGGCTGTAGGCAAGAAGTCCAAAATTTGGGTTTGTATCTGAAGTTTCCTAATGTTTAAATGTTGGCAACTGATTCATTGAACAGCAAGCAAACAATGTGTGAGTCAAATAGGACTGACTTTTCAGGGCTCTGATCTGGTCTATGGTCCTTTGTGGAAGCTCCCAGGCCGGGGTGCCACCTAGATCCCCATCCCCTTTCTGTTGCCAAATACTGTGTCACATCTGAAGTCTTAACACCACCTCTCTCTTTGATCCTCTGAAACTTTTCTTGCTCTGAGTGTACACAGAGGGGTGGTCGGTAGAACAGTGAAGAGAGCTTGGGTAGGGATTCCACTGAGGCTGGGGTCTTAGCTTTGCCTTTTGTAAGCTTATGGGTCATCAGTGTCTTGCTTCTCTTTCCCATGCCTTAGTTTCCTCCTTTGTCCAGTGGGAGTAAATAGTTCCTGCTATCTAGAGTGAGTAAAGAATGCAGGAGATGCAGAGGGCAGGGCCAACCTAAGGACTTTCTAGTATGTGCACTTAGGCATAGGTTCGTGTGGAGTGAAACAGGTCCCAGGTAGTGAATCACACAACCCGGGACATCTGTGACATGGGGCCCAAGATTTCTTTTTCAGTCATTTGGAGGGTTCTTACAAGGTCATATTCAAATGGCATTTGGCAAAGCCAGGTACCCAGGACACACTGTTCTGTTCCTTGAAGTCTGGGACCTTTTCCATCGGTAGAGACCTGGGAAGGGAGAACTGGGCCTTGTTGGACTGAAGGCAGGATGAGCAGAGAGGAGAGAAATGCTCCCGGGCCCTTTCTCAGACCTATTAGCTTCCTCTTCTCTTTCTGGCCACCAGGAGGGAGCTGTGGTCCCATGGTCGGAGCTGGCCCACTTGCTAAGCATGGTCTTAGCCTCTGCTTTTCGGGGCAGCTTGGATGATGGCTAAGCTCCGAGCCTGCCTCCTCATCCCTCCCAGCCCTTGGAGGGTGTCTTGCTATCCCATTTTCTTGCCCAGGTACAGACAGCACAGGAGGGCCACAGGGCTGGGGCAAGGTGGTGACAAGGTTTGCTGGCCAGGGGAAGAGGCCTAGTCTCATCCAGACCCTTCCTGGGAGGGTTAGAGAGTGGAGGTGTTACACCTCTGCCCAAAGCAGGGAGTCAGGCCCTGTTCATAGTCCGAAAGGAGGATAAAGGACCTTAGAATCCTGAGATAATGAGAGGTCTAAAGGGCTGTTGTAGGGGCAGGAGGAGGGTAGTAGCATCTTGAGCCTCAGGGCATCCTGGCGAGAGGGCAGAGGTGCCTCCAGGTCCAAGGTTCAAACATAGGTCAGCTCCGCGGATCCCCAGGCAGTCAGTGCCCATTGCTTTTTGCCTGTGTGGGTTCTCTTGTGTATCTACCATCGCTTGAATGAGGAGGACCACGAGGGTGGTGGAGCACCTGTGTGCCCACCCCTCAGTCCTGTGTGCTCTTTCCCTGGGCCTGATCTTCATGCATGCTCACTGTGGAGCCTCTGACATGGGATGGAGCTCTTCAGAATTGTATTCCAGCCTTAACATATATATTCTCTGTGACCTGGGGTTTGTGAGAAGGGAGAAGGCAGAACCCGGAACAAATGAAAACTGATCCTACAAATCTAGCCTGCAGTTAAGGGAAAGTGCTTTCTGTGGAAATGAGAGGAAAAAATGAAGGCAGGGTGGGGGCTGCAGAGCTACAGCCTGTGCATTTGTTCCATGAAGATTGCCCAGCATGAGGGGGAAGGTCTTGATGGAGCAGGCAGGTCCTTGGTTGCCATCTCATGTGGAGGTTGGCTGCCAGGCACCAAGGGGAGCTAAGCAGGAGTGAGAAATGACAAAGAAGAACAGGGACAGAGTGCTGGCATAGGTAGTAGTGGGCGGGGCCCCAGCAGACTTGCAGGAAAATCTGAGGCCTGGGGGCCAACCTGGGAAGAATGTGTCTGTGTGTGTGGGGGGCCTGGGCCATGGTGGGGGACAGAGTTGCTGACTGACTTAGGAAGCTGGTGGACAGTTCCTGAGGTGGGGTGCAAGCTCTGGACCCTTGAGTAGCACCAACACAACCTCTCATCTTTCTCTTCCATTTCTGCAGGGGGTGGAGGAAAGCGCAAAGGAAAAAGCAAGAAGTGGAAGGAAATCCTGAAGTTCCCCCACATCAGCCAGTGTGAAGACCTCCGAAGGACTATAGGTAAGCTGACACTGTTGCTTGGAGGGGTGTGGGGAGTGAGCAGCCTGTCACCCACCCAATTCCAGGGAGGAACCCTGGGCTGACATCTTTGCTAATGAATTTAAAGCTACAGTCAGCATTCACTGAATCTTTGGTGTGTGCTATGTAGAATTTTCACTTCCCCATTGTCCTGTGAGGCAGATACTGTTATTTTATTATTACTCTGGGCACAGAGTGGTTCTGTACCTGGCCCACGGCACAGCTCATGGGAGTGCAGTTGGGGTGGGGAGAGCCCAGTCTTGAGCCCTGCGCGAAGCTTTCTACTGTTCCTTCCTGAGCCTACACATCCTGCCCTGGGAAGCAGCTCTGGCTCTAGGCTGCCCTTCCTTCTTGCCAGGGATGTTAGTTCTTACCAATGAGCACTCAGCCAGTAGCGCACCCTAGTCCTCCTTGTCTAGCACCCACTTAGCCATCTCCAACTGCAGCAGTAGGCCTCATTTCCCATGGGGATTTGCATAGCTAGATGCATGAAGTCTCTTCTTGGCTCCTGAGGATGTGGTCTTGGGAAGGACTGGGTGGACAATGGGCTGTTCCAGGCAGGAACACTCTTCATTAGTTCAAGACTGCCAGAGGTCATGCATGTACTCAACAAGTACTCACAGATGGAAGCCTCCTAGAGACCCACCTTCCATCCTTAATATCTTAGTGAGATTGGAATCTCCATGGGGTCTTCAGGAAACAGGAGCTAAGGGATTGGAGTCCTGGGCCCAGGGGCTTTGTGTTCTAAGTCCACTCTCTCTGTTGACCACATTACATGATACTTAGTCTTGACGAACCTCAGTTTCTCTACCTGCAGTGTAGTGACTGTGAACCCAGTCACAGGGCAGTGGAGTGGATCAAATGAGACCATGTGTATGGAGCCTCCTCAGGGGCTCTGCTCCCTTCTAGAATGCGTCATAGCCACCATCCTTCTTGGCCCTTCCAGAGCTGTGACCTTAGACATCCATGTCCACTCTTGAAGATCAGCTTTCTACTTGGTGGCTCATGGAGAAGGGGTTCAGAGAGGTGCTCTTCTCCTGGGGCTGGGGGCTGGGTGGTCAGCGCCTCCAGATCACAAACAGTTTAAAAAAGGGGAGCTAGGGAGATCCCTTCTGGTGACTGTCGACTTTCTACTTCTTGCTAATTTAGGGTTGGCAGTAGTAGGGCCCAGGAGTGGGGCTGTGGGGGAACCTCACCTGCTATTGTCTGGCTGCGCACTCCAAAAGCCTAAAGAAATCAAGCCTTCTCCATTCTGCTCATCCTGGGAAAGCAAGTCCATGGCTGAAAGAATGTCCTTTCTGAATCATGTGGGGCCGGCTTTCTCTCAAGGGAGGGATGTCATCTCACTCCCTACCTACAGCAGGCCCTGGGGAACATTGTAACACTCTCTTCCCTAGGCCAGAGGCTGATCAGAGACCATTTTGAGATGTTTACTTGGAGGAGAGAACTTGAAATAGGAGGAAAGCATCCCAAAAGGAGAAACTGTGCAGACAGACAGCTAACAGGGACAGGCTTCACTCACCTGGGAAGGCCACCCGGGAAGCTGCTTGCTTCTCACTGTTGGTGTTGCTCTCTGCAGGTAGAAAGCTGCAGGGGCACAGCCACGTCAGAGAGGCCTGCCCTGGTCCCTGAATGTGAATTAGCCCCTGCCAGAGCCTCTCAGAGCATCCGGTCCTCTTCTGCTACACTATTGTGTGTCTGCCTGGCTATTGATGTGTCTGTTGGTCCCACAGGTAGAATGGGTCTGCAGCAAGGAACTGGATCTCTTAAATTCACCACTGTGTTGGTGGTAGAGGGGGAGAGAGAGAAGCCAGCTGAAGGAGGCGCCACATTTTTCTGTGCAGCGGCACTGTGTTCTTGAGTGTGTTCTGTGTCTACTTCTGATAAAATCCTTCTCATGTTTATAAAAATAAGTTAGCTGGCTTGGATTGTAGCTTAGCAGCACAGCAACTGTGTGGCAAGTACAAGATCCTGAGTTTGATAGCTGGTACCAAAAAAAAAGTTGGATAAATGAGTGAAGGGAAGGAGTAGTAAGAAGGTGCAAGTGAACACAGTCCTTATGAAGGGTTTCAGAGACGGAAAGGTACTGAGTAGTATATAGAGCATTCGTATATCTGCCACCCAGATTAAGGAAATCTTACTGCTTTGCTATATTGATTCATGTGTTTCTTAAAATATAAGACATAAAGTATGAAATGTAGGACTCCTAATTCCAGACAAGAGGGTTTAGATACATTATTCCCTGTCCCTGCTACTAAAGATAGCTGAAAATCCTGGATGCTGTGTATAAAATAAAGAAGATTCTGAAAGATGGAAGAGCAGGCAGACTGGTTGGGAACCTTGCGACATGATAAATGATACCATCACGAACTCCTTGGGTGGTCGTGGTGGTGGTGGTGATGGTGGTCGTCGTTGTTGTGTTCTTTTTCTTTTTCTTCTCCTCCTCCTTCCTCCCCCGCTTCCTCCTCCTCTTCTTCCTTTTGCCCTTGCCCTTCCCCTTCCCCTTCTTTCTCTTCCTCTTCTTCTTCCTTTTCTTCTTTTTGCTGAAAGAACTGAAACCTGAAATCCAGTGAGTGGCAACCAAGTGGCCTCATGCTGCACGAAGAAACCCAGCCTGTCTTGTTCAGCCTGAGGCTCCAGAAAGGGGCAGCTGGGCTGACCCGGGAAGCTGTTGGCACAGTGGGTCATCCTGGCCTGCTGCTTCGGTTCACCTCAGCAGTGGGACACCTAGCTTCAGACTCTCTGTTCTTTTAGCTTCTGTCTCAGTCAGCACTGGCTGCTGTAACAAATGACATAGGCTGAGCAGCTTCGAGAACACATTTGTGTCTCAGTTTTGTAGGCTGGAAGTCTGAGATCAAGGCCCACCTCCCTTTTTTGCACGCCTGCGTGGTGGGGAGGGAGGAAGCAAGCTCTCTTCTGTCTCTTCCTGTAGGGACTTGAGTGCCATTCAGGAAGCCTCACTCTTAGCATTGAACCTCCTCATTTCATCACAGTGAGGGAGGGTTGAACATGTGCATTTGGGAGGATGCAGATGCTCAGTCCACAGCATCTTAGCTCTGGACACCCTTCTCTGCTTCTGTCCCCTGAAATGGGACTGCTGCTGTCCTGAAGTGAACTAGTCTTGCCTAGGCTCCATGCCCCCTGGTCTGTCTTTCCAAGTAAGGTTGCTCAGATACTCTTACCGTGGCCTTTCTGGGGTCATCCAGCATTGTCCCAGGAGTCCCCATGTGTCCTTCACCATCTATCTGGTACCCTCCTTGTCAGGAGGGGACCTTCGAGAGCAGATTTACCCTGAGCTTCCTTGGGTCTGTGGACCCCACCCCACATAGTCCTTCACTGGTCCATCTTGGAAGGCTCTTGGCTGGACCCTCACCTCTGGGCCATGTGAGAAATGTGCGTGCTGGCACATTTTATATCATTCAGGAATGATATTTCTGTTCTGCAGAGGGGAGTGAAAGACTCTGTGCGAACAGTGTGAAGAGAGGTCCCAGACAAATAGGAAGGCTGCCATAAATGAGGGGTTGCAGCATGTGGCTCAGGCCTGAGGCTCGGCCTTGCCACCTGTTTATAGCCAGTTGCCATGGTGCTTGCCCAGCTTCTGCTAGGGTCCTGTTGGAAGGCCTCAAAATTCTCATTTCTTTCTAGACCAATACACAAAGCAAATAGTGGCAAATACCACATTTATTTTTCTTGTGGACGCATGAGCTCACTTTCTGAAGTTCTGTGGCAAGGTGTCCTGGGGCAGGGTTGGTCCCAAAGTTCCAGGTCCCTTGGGCCCAGAGGGTAGCATGGAATGGTGCAGGGGAAGGAAGGCTGTAGATCAGAGGAAGGGACAGAGCCCACCAGGAGTCCAGGACATTGCCCCCTTGGGACCATCCCAGACAGAAATCAGTGGAAGGAAGCCATGGCTTTCTCTTGTCTTCAGTACGGCCCTGGGCAGCCACAGGCCAGCTCTGCCCAGCACTGGGTGTGACTTTGGGAAATGAAAACTGCTCCTGTGAATTAGTTCACTGCGGAAACCACACAGCAGTACTCCGTCCTACTGGGAGTGAGCCTGCACTTCCGTCCTGGGCCATGCACGCTTGGCTGTGGGCAAAGCAGGCAGATGCCTTCTTAGAATAATGCTTTTAGCCAGATCAAATGCAGTGCACAGGGCTGCAAAGGAAACCGAGGCTTTGAAAATGTAAAACAGAGAAGTGTAAATGCTTCTTGATTAACAATTCTAAATAAAATCTGTTGGCTCCAAATCAAGGCCGGAAGTTTTCAAAAGCAGTTGGTTTCAAGAGGGAGCCTAAAGTGATACTTTTCTGTGGTCTGCTGGCCTTTTCAGAACTTTATAAATGTGATGGTCAATTCATTAGAAAGGACCTACTAACTATAAAAAAATAAAGTCTAAGTCATGTGTGGTGGTGCAGCTCTGTAATCACAGCCCTTGAGAGGCTGAGACAAGAGGATCGCTGCTATATAGCTCAGGCTGACTGCATAGTGAGTTCAAGACCAGCCTGAACTATATAGTGAGACCGTGTCTCAAATAAAAAAAAATTAAACAATAAAATGTAAGATCTAACAGCTTGTTAAGTAGGTATTATAGTTTTGAATTTGAGGTAAGCATAAATGGTATTTTTGGATAGCTACAACAACTGTAATACGAATGAATCTATGATTTCTGCAGTGACAAGTCCCAGGCACTGCTGTGGGCTGTCGCCTACATTCCTAATGGGAGGAAGCACTAGAAGGCGATGTCTTTCTCCATCCAAGTGCCATGTCTTGGTAGCGCCGTCCCTACCCTGCCCACTGTGATCTGTCCTAGAATTCCTCACACGTCACTGCCCCCTCTGTTCATGGCTGCTCTGGCCACCTCTTTGCTCTGATTTCACAGCCCTGGGAGGCTTCGCACCTGCTGTTGCCTTCACCAGGAACCTTCTTCCACATGCTTTCTTCCAGGGGACTTCAGGTCTTAGCCCACGTATCATTGGTAAAGAGAAGTCTTCTAAAAAGGAACCATTCCCGCCTCTGGCTGTATTCTTCCACATAGTGTTGTTTGTTTAACGTTCTGTGCCCATAATTTCCATCTGAAATCATCCTTTTTTCAGTCGTTTCCTTGTGTATCTTCTGTCTCCCACACTGGACTGGGTGTTCTGTGTTAAAAGTACCCATGCCTTACCTGCTTTGCTCCTGGAACTGTGCCTTGCACATTCTAAGGCTATTTTGAATATTAGGTAGTGAAGCATTGAATGAGGTGAGATAAATATCTGAAATTAGTGCTCTGTTTCAAAAGTTTGTGATGTGTTTGCTGTATCTAAGCTTACCTTAACCAGTGGCTTAAAGTGATGAAAGTTTAGCCTTTAGGAGCACCTTAGAAAGCATTTATTTTCCAGCACTCTGGAGGTTGAGGCAAGAGTGTCATGAGTTTGAGCTTAGCTAGGGCTACATAGTGAGACCATGTTTCAAAAAACAAAAACCAAAAAAGAAAAGATTCATTTTCTATCTCACCTAGAACCCTCTGTACCCTTACTGGATGTGTGAGGAAACCCAACACAATTACAAGACTCTGCCAGTGTCCTAGGCACTCAATGGGGAAGGCAAACTGAGGGCTCCTGGCCATAATGTGAGTACTTATCACAATGAAGTTAACAGAGTACAGAGTCCTCAGTGTAAAGACTAGAAAGCTTCTCTCTTCCCCCGACTCCCAATTCAGAAGTCAGTGAACAGGGTCCCAGAGCAGGGTGGCCTGGCCAGGACAGTTCAGTCCCTTGATCTTGAGTTATAGCTTTTTACTTTCTACCTAGTGTCATATTGACACATAAATATTTGAGCTGTCAGTACCAGCTAGTACCTAAAGCAGGGAGAGTTATTATGCACTCAAAAAGGGGAACATTTCCGTTGGTCTCATTTTCTTACGTCTTGTAAGTGTGTTGCACATTCACATATATTTTCAGCAAGTGTGTACCGAGAGCTTCCTGTGTACTACTCATGGGGAAAACATAGCTGTACCTGCTCCTGGAACTCAGTTGTGGCCAAGCCCAGGAGGTTGAGCGAAATGAGGTTGATTAAAATAGCAATGTTCTGATTGAGAGTGTTCCCTGATTACAAAGGAAGGGTTGCTGAGCTGGAGCACGCTGGGCAGCCTCCTCCTATATTGGCGTTTCTCCAGTGGAGGGGGCATTGCTTGTGACCTCCTCGGGTAGAGCATCTTATATGAGTGCTCTGGGGTGCTTCCTCTCACTCTGAGTGTCCTTTGTGACCCAGTGACTAGATGGATAGATAGACGCAGGGAGGAAGTGATGGATGTATGGGTGGGTGAGTAGATGGATTAAGTGGATTGCTTGCTGTTCCCTCTTCCTTTTCAGTCTGGAAACCAGGACTATTGGCAGCAGTAAGAGAGATTCCTCGCTTTACATTTCTGCGTCTACTATGAGCACCAGATATGCGCTGTTTATAGACAGAACTGACAGAGGGCAGACAGACCATGAGAGGAGGCAGGGGTTGTCTAATGTCTGCTCAACAAAACATCAGATAATGCCAGTATTGTTTAATGGGCTAATTGTTCATATAAAATCATTAGAGGGCCCAAATCAAAGTTCTCATAATGGCCAAAGGTTGGAGAGCTGAAACTATCGTCATGCAGATAAAAGATTGTTGAAGTCTGCAGATATTTCCCCATGACGCAGAAAGTTCTGTTGGGCAAAAGTGCGGCATTTTTATTTATTTAGCTCAGATTCATTGCATAATTTATTCTTTCATTTTTAAAAAAGTAGGAGGGGGCTTGAGTGAAAGAGTTGCTTATTTCACTGTTTGGCAGTATTTCCATAGGAACTGTCCAAAAGCTATGTAATAAATCACGGCCCCTCCCTCTGGCAGGCAGGACTGACATTTAGAGGAGGCTGTTCACAGAGAGTGGCTCTTGGGCCTGGCCTGGCATCCCCTACTCCGACTCTCTCAACTGAGTTGCCTTGTAGAGGAGCTGTTTGCCAAAGGCTTAATTCTACCAGCACCAGGAGTGCTTGGCCGTGGGTGATTCCTAGAGGAATATGTACCTCTTAACGTACAAAGAGCGTTGCCATCCTTGAAGTTGCTTCACACTTGCCTTTTCCCTCCACAATGGCCAACAGGTAGTTGTTCTGTCCTACTCTGCAGGCTCTGGAGCTGCATCACAGGCCACAACTGACAAGTGGTAGAATCCCCTGGGAGGCACTTGGTCATTGTGATCAGGAGCAAATGGTGACTGATGCCCTTGGCCATGAGACTTTTAGCACTTTGTCAATAAGGTGGAGATGTTTCTATCAACCTGGCAGAGCCATTGGGGAGGCCAACAGAGTGTCTTACACATAAGTTGTTGTCATTACCATCGTCACCATTGTAGAAGTAGTGGCTTGAGGACAGAGGTTGAGGGACTTTTAAGAGAGCTTTTGAGTTTCTGGAAAAAGAGCTGCATTGGCTACAGGTGATTAATGGGGCCACCCGCTTCTGTGCTGCCAGGCAACAGATCCAGTGCCCGAAGGCCTTTCCCTTGGGATAATTTGAATGGTACTCTTCCTAAACACCTCCTCCTGGAAGCCCACAGTGGTTCCTACAGGGCCTGGCTCTTCTCCCCACCTTGGGTGCCCAGTGCTGCTAGGACTCTAGGTGGGACTTCTGCAATCCCCGTTTCAGAAGGGGTAGTTGTGGAGGTCCGCAGAGATTTGAGATTTACTTTTTAAAAGGAAAATCAATTGGTGTGTTGTTTTTGTAAATAAAAATTAAATGAATGAAACAGAGAGTGAGTTAGAGAGAATGGTGGTGCTATTCTTTTCCTTCCTTATTGACTTTGTGCTCCTTGAGAAGTTAGTGGGCTCACGAGGACAACCCAGCAATCATCACACATCTCTGTGACCCAGTCCCCTTCAGGCCTGCCAGGCTGGCACTCAAGTTCTTAATTTCATTGTCAGGGAAACCAAGACTCTGTGGACGTCAGTGCTGTCCTTGGGGTGATAGAGAGCGCCATGTCTGTCATTCTGCCACTTAGCCATGCTCTGATAAGGCATAGCATCTGCTTGTCCTTGGAGGGCAAGATAAATTTAGATGTGGCAGATCTGAGACATCAGGTGACCTGTATGCAGCTGGAGCACTTGGGAGAGACGGGGTAGCCTGTGTGTAGTGCTCTGAGTGTCAGCTTCACCTCTGCACAGCTCTTGAAGGTGACAGCATGAGCTTGGTGTATGCAAGAAGCCATGGTGGCGCATGCATGACATCCCTGATGGCAGGCTGAGGCAGGATGATTGCAAGTTCGAGCCCAGCCTGGCAACTTAGCAACTTAGACACAGTCTTGAATTTTTTAAATAAAAGGGTGAAGATACAGCTTAGTGCAAAGGCTCTGGGTTTAATCCACAGTACTTGGACACACACGCCAAAAGAAAAAAAGGAAGAGAAAGAAAAAAGAAAATCTCAGTGGTATTAGGGTGGCTTTCATCTGGAATATGGGAAGATGGGGTCCTGGCAGGGCTTTTCCAGGTGACTATTCTTGGCTTTCAGAAGTCATTCTCCTAAGTCATTGGGCAGGCCCTCTTTACTTTCTTTCTTTAAGCTTCTATGTAAGATTTTATTTCAGGACTAAAATGGGAACCAAATTTGAAACCTACTGTTCCCATTTTCCAGCCAAAAAACTTGAGTCCCAGAAAGAAAAATGGTTTTTCCAATTTTTCTCTGTTGCCTGACTCCCAGGCAATCCTTGCCCCATTATATTAGTTTGCCAGAGCTGCTGTAACAAAGTGCCACAGACTGGGTTGCTTCAAGAACTGAATTTAGGACCGGGGAGATAGCTCAGCAGCATAAGTGCCTGCATCACAAGCACAAGGTCCTGAGTTCAATCCCTGGTACCGAAACAAACAAACAAACTTGAGACCAAGAACCAAATGTATCTCACAGTCCTGGAAGCTGAGTCAAGGTGTTGGCAGGCTTGGTTCCTTCTGAGGCCATGAGTTAGAATCTGTTCCATGCCTTTCTCTTGGCTTCTGGCAGTGTGCTGGTCGTCTTTGCTTGGCTTACAAATGCACCACCCCAGTCTCTGCCTTGTATTTATACTGTCTGTGTCTGCCTCCAACTTTACCCTTTTTAAAAAATTACAAATTCTATTGGATTCAGGCTCATCTTGGTAATCTGCTTTTACATTGCTGACCTTTATAATGCCTCTGTTTCCAAGTAAGAGCACGTTTAGGGGTCCTGGGGGTTTGGGGTCCAACTTACCTGCTGTGGGGAAAGACACAACTGAACTCATAACATGCCATCTCGTGTGAGCCGTGGAGCTCAAAGTAGAAGGGCTGGAGGATCCCAGTTTCATAGGTCTCAGAATGGCTCCTGTCCCCTCTCCTGCTGATACAAGCTGACAGCCTTGCCT